ATGTTCATTACAAAAAGTGTGAGAAACCATTAAGGAAAAAAAAAGTGAAAAGCTGAGCATCAAAATCAGAAGATTTTTTAATATGAATGACCAGTATCAGTTTTCTTTAGAGAACAGAAAGTTAATATGATGTCTTGGCTCCTCTCTCTCCACTTCAACTTTTTATTTAAAATTTTAAGTGATTAGAAAAGCAGAAAGAATGGAATGATGAACAAGTATATTTTTGCTACCTAAAGATTAACAGTAACCTTTTGTCATACTTCTTTCTTATCTCCTTGTCCCTGTATATACATGCAAAACTTTTTGGGGATGGCATTAACTTTTCAAATTAAGTAGCCATCTTTATGTCATTTCACCCCTAAATACTTCAATATGTACATCCAAAAAAAAAAATAAGGTTACCTATATAATCTAATATATAATCTAAACCATTAGCACACAGAGTCTTACCCTGTGGCCCAGGCTGGAGTGCAGTCACTGCAGCCTCTACTTCCTGGGTTCAAGTGATTCTCCTGCCACAGCCTCCCAAGTAGCTGGGATTGCAGACGTGAGCCAGCACACCTGGCCTCTGCATCTTTATTTCTGCAAAAGTGGCTCACATTCTGCAATTGTTAAATCATTTCCTTTTGATGTTTGCCTCCTAAAGTTTTCTGTAAATTGGCTTGATTATATCCAGGTTACACAATTGAGGCAAAAAATTACTTCAGCGTGATGGTATGTACTTCGTAGTGCAGACAAACAGAAGGCACAAAATGAAGGTCTGTGTCACTGTTAGTGATTTATTAGTTCACATTCTTCTCTAAAAGAGTTTTCTCTGCTGGTGGTGAACTATATAGTACCTCCTAAAAAGGTTACGTAAATGTAATTTTCGCACTTTACTGGTTTTGGGAATAAGGATTTATGTACATATAGTCCCTGACTTACGATGGCCTAATGTAAGACTTTTCAACTTTACAATGGTATAAAAGTGATACACATTCAGTATGCTACTTAACTTCGAGGAGCATCTGTAATAATCCCCTCCCGAGGTACCAAATAGGGCTTGTTTTTTACCGTTTTTCCATATTCATTATGGACTCACGGACTTTTTATACTCACTGTTACAGTTCATTCTTTTTTTTTTTTTT